ACCCAAAACCGACTGCCACCTACCGGCTGCTTTAAGATGCAGTATACAGCAAAAGTACACGCTCGTACATATCATGGGTGTTTTCAACCTACATTGCTGTGAAACTCCTGCCAACATCGGAAAACAAGTCAAAGTCGATCTACAAGTTTTCGTAACCACTGTACTCCTTTCCAATTACATAATTGTAACCACTTGGTTCAAAACAGATAACAGGATTTCTGTGCTGGATCTAGAAACTACCAACGAAGAGCATATGATGCATCCGTAGTTTAAGACTGCCACTCTGGTAGCATCATCAGTTTCACCCTCACATGCTATGCAGAGTATCGGGATGAGAACAATACGACTGTGCGAACTGTCACAAGCTAAGGTCGATTAGCCCAGCTCGTCACCGCTACAACTTGGTTGCTCCTTGCCGAAAAGCCCCAGAAATCGCCTGGCTCGAGTTCGTCAACAAACTACGTCAACCAATTGCAGAGGCTTCAAATATAAGGATTTGCAGTAAGTGTAAATCAATTTATTTCGTTAGGAGCAGAACTCGAAAATGGATGACAATACGCAACACAGCATGATGAGCGTATAGAGAAGTTCCAGCATCAGAAACTTGGGACAACTACGTAGCCCAACGTAACCACTGCACTCAACTGCTAAGAGAAGACAAAGCCGCCTATCAGCAGAACATCGCAAAAACCTTCAGTGCTAACCACAAACTGCTGTACAAGCAGGTAAATAGCCTACGAAAAGTGAGGCAAGGATTACATCCACTCAGGACGGTCGATGGCCCAACAAGAACGGCTGTGGAAATAACAACCCTATTGCGGATGCAATATGCCCCACATTTCAGAGGGCCTTGCCACCAAGCAATCTCCAACCTTTGTCGTCTCCTCGCCAGGACTAACCCACATCACTTTTACCGCGGAGGCTGTATTGCAAAAGCTGACGTCTCTACGCAAACACAGCTCGCCGGGTGTCGACACCATTCGTCCAGAGGCACTGGAAGCAGCAGCAAGCCAACTGGCAGGACCTTTAGCTCAGTTTTTCCAGCGCTGCTTAGACCAGAATCAAGTTCCCGCATGTGGAAGCTTGGAATAATAACCCGATTCACAAAGGTGGAAGCAGAACTGATCCCTCCAACTACCGCCCAGTATCCCTTCTTCCTATACTCTCCAAGGTCATGGAATCCATAGTTGCCGATGCACTGGTGTGCTATCTGGAAAACTGTAACATCATCACGCCTGAGCAGCACGGTTTCCGTCGACAGCGGTCATGTACAACGAATTTACTAATCGCACGCAGTAGTTGGACCGAGGCAGCTGACGCTGGAGAAGGTGTTGATGTGATCTACCTGGATTTTTCCAAGGCTTTCGATCGTCTAGACCATCGGATACTACTATCCAAGCTGCAGCATTACGGGATCGGCGACCCTCTTTAAGCTGGATTGCCAACTTTCTACTTCAACGGCAATTAGTGGTCAGAGTTCGGAGCTCTTTATCGGACCCCATACAAGTCGAGTGTGGTGTGCCGCAAGGCTCAGTTCTAGGTCCACGTTTGTTTTTGGTGTTTATTAATGACCTTGCACAGGGAATCGCTTCAAACTTCCTAATGTTTGCCGACGATATCAAGATCTGGCGCAGGATCCAGGCGAACGCCGACCAGCATCTGCTTCAGAGTGATCTAGATACGGTGTATCAATGGTCAACCCAAAACTTACTGTATTTCAAAGTGTGTAAATGCAAGGTACTTTCCATCCGACATCAGAGTAGCTACTCATACTCATACCTTCTCGGAACGAATGTACTGCAACCATCCACTGTCGAAGATGACTTGGGCGTCCTGGTTCAAGATGACTTAATTTGCTCCAGGCAAGCTGAAAAGGTCTCGAGGACTGGAAACCAACACGTCGGACTGTTGCGACGGGCAGTTAAAATAATAAACAGCTCCATATTTCGACAAATGTTCAGTGTGTATGTTTGCTCCCATGTCGAATATGCAATTCAAGCCTGGCATCCATGGCTGAACCACGACCTTAATGCACTGGAGCAGCCACAACATCGGGCACCCTAGAACGTAATTGGAATGCGCAATCTTTCATATGAGGTGAGGCTGAAACGATTGGGGGTATTCAGTGGAAGCTATCGCAGATTACGAGGCGACCTGATTAGGGCATACTTGATTCTGCGAGACCCACATCATGTGTTCCGCCCTGTACTGCGACTCAGCGGTAATGCGAACCTGAAGGTCCAGTCAATGAAAGTCGCAAAACAGTATAGCCGTCTGGATTGCTGCAGGAATTTATTTTCTACTCGTGACTGTCAAACGTGGAATGCTCTCCTAGTACCGGTGGTCTCTGTACCGATACTAACGGTAGTTAAAATACTGTTAGATGACGCACTCATCCACTTAGACTTTGTCACTTAACGCTTTATCATGGAGTTATTTGATGTTACCTGTGGTTGCTGTGAATGTAATTGGATTGCATGACTACGGTAGAGCAAGCAATGACTCCTTACGTTCACATTTGTAATACTAACTGTTTTACTCTTATTACTAATATTATTATTACTTTGATTATTATTTAGATATCCCCAAAACTATCAAACGGGACTTGTAAAGCAACGCTGCTTAACCTGTATAAAGTCATTGTTTATTGTTAAGCATCGCAGCTCGTGAATGCTTTTTGCGGGCATGAAGGATCCATCAGGCTCAAAACAGTGTTACAGCATTGAGTCGTTTCGCCTCACGATCTACGGCGATCTATTTCTGGTGTTCAGCCCCCAGTTGATCGGCTGTTGTACCTATGGTGTGTACCTCTGCAGCGAGTTTTGGCGCATCCTAATCCAACAACTGCATTCCCGCTTTGTAGTATAATAACGTTTTTACTATGTCCATTTATCGGAGGTGCTTGAAAAGTTTCGTATTATCTGGGGAAGTAATCACACAAAATACTAACTAAGGGAATGTTTATTAGACTGTTCTGAGAAGGGATTGCTCCTGTCCTGATCTCAATCGATGCAACACGCACCTGACTGGACTCGAAGTGAGACACAGTGAGAGTCGAAAGAATCCGAGTTTAACTACATGACAGGCGAAACAACCGCCAGAGCTGTCCTCCGTAACTTTAGTTACAGAACATTTGGGCTTCGCTTTGCAGTCTAATTTCTACGTCGTTCAACCACGAAATCGAACTCAGTGACATTTTCTTCACATGCTCTCAAGCAAAGTGTTTTACTCAACTAAGTTAACATCAGATAGCAAATGGAGATAGCTCATTTGCTTTCAACTTGCACCGGTAATAGTTGATAATCAGCAAAGCAAAATATTACGGAAGATAATTTCGTTATGAGTATCGATTGCGGGTGTCGGTTCGTTCCATTGCTCAGTTCTTTGCTTGGCACATCCAATTTTACCTTCATCAAACATTAAAGCAAATTCAGAACTGAGTGTTTTCTTGACCACAACATCGTTTTCTTCTGTATTAAAAGTGGTTTGCTGTTGCCAGATCTCTTTGCATCTAGTAAAAGATTACTTCTCCAAAGGTTCAAAGTCAATTGTGTTAGTTGTCTAAGCCCCTGCCAAGGTACAGTGTATTCCGACGCCCTTTATGCAATTATTAGGCCATCATACTTGTTCGTTGTCTAAATTTACCATTCATCTAATAACAAAGAAACTACCTTGCTGAAATATGAAAACTACCTAATCTTGGGTAGGAATCTTGTAACATCCTCCACCTAACTTAAACAACAAGCTAGTTTATATAAAGTAGTGCGATGGTCTTAATCCGCTTAGTTGACAGCGAAGACATCCAAGTGAACCGACATTCTGTTTCTACTGTATGAAATAGCTCGTTAGCAGTAACGGTTCACAACTCCACGAATACGAAGGGTGCTTGAAATCTTCAATGTAAATGGTATAGCTGGATATGATAGTGGGTTGTGATGTATTGTTATCAGTTCATGTGAGTGAAATATCAATCAAAATCAGGAGGCTGTCGTTTTGTCTCGCATCGCCGATCATCCTCCATCCCCATAGTTTGATACTGCGGCTCAATGCAGCATAATATTAATGCATGATTGACATGCCAAATTATCCGACAGGTCTCTGAAGTACTTGGCTCATTGCGGCGGCATTTCAAAGCAAACTTAAACCAAAGTACTGTATGTATCCATGTTAATTCCTGTAAACATGCTTCGAACGGACTGTCAACCGTCTGTCATTTTTTAGTGCACTGTGAATGTATATCCGCTTTACCTACTGTATCGAATAGTAGAGGCTCACAAACTGACCTACTGCTAGATGCTTATTTCATACCTAGCTAGATTTCTGCTGGAATCGAACGGTGTCATACGAGAATCAACTCGCCACTTATGCAGGTGAAGTTCTGCGTGGACATTTAAGTTTTGCTTTTGTTGCTATTTTACTGCTGTTGCGCGTGCCGTATTTGTATCTATCGAGGTATTCGTAACCTCAGAAATTTCACCATAACCTTGGTGTATAAACTGTACTCTTACATTGATGAGCAAGTATTTCTGTTTTGTATTGATTTGATTCGTCTTTGAATCTTATCACCACTTACCATGCGTTTATACGGACACCTAAGGAAAGGGTCTCAAATGTGTTAAATTTAGAGAAATTTTGCTTCACAAGGCCAAGGTTGCCGACATTTTTAAATGTTTACTACATATACTGGTGCAAACATTTGCGAAACAGCCATGGATAAATGAATTAATAGGTCATATGCAACACTACTCTGGACAATTATGTGCGCTCTTTCCTACTGTTCTCCTGATGGTAGTACAAGACAAGAATTTCATCATGACATACTAAGTGAACTACGCCGAAGATTCTCTTACACATAAAGCCGCCATTTAATTGAGGCAAAAAATTCTTTGAGTAAATTGCTTCCTACGGACAAATACCACTTGCTATTTTCATTGGTTGCTGATCACAGATGAAATAGATGGAAACGATGTCTCGGATAAGCTCAATACAGGTTCACATACTTTTCCTCGTTTTGACAGGTTCCTGCAAGGGTCTCCGTTGGCAGTCCACATGTCGCATGCGTTACGGAAATTGGATCGTAGAACCCCTTGAGGGTTTGCGGGCCGGCCAACCAGGTCAGTCGGTATGAACTGGTGTTGGAAAGAGTCGATGGCTGATAGCGTTGCTCGGACGCATCAGCCTTTTGAGTAGATGCTGTTGAATCTCGAAGACGCGTGATTGACAACCATGTATAGCTGGAGTTCGCGCATCGCCAACGACAGACAATTTCATTTGCATCAGCATCTTCATTTCCTAAGAGAAAATAAACGCAACGAACTCCTTAGTTCAGGTAATCTAAGTGCATGAATCTCTTTCACAAACAAAATGACTTGGCGCGGTTACGAAGAAGACTGCAACAAACACTCCGCATAGAATTACAAATGCCGCTACACATTGCACTCGGGAGCACGGTCCCGTCGATAGACTGGTGCATGGATTGAAGTGACCACTTCATGCACTCTTGCGCAGTGTTCTGCAGTTGGTCATAATTGGCTGATATAATGATCATCACTCTGTCGCATACTCCAATTGCCATCCGCACTGTACTTATAATTACATCCTACATTTCCGAGTACATCGGCGGAAACTACGATGTAAATTTCGGCATACGCTAGGGACTGGTGTTGGCCAGCGCAGAACCAAAACGCTAGATTTGAAAACAACTTCAGTAAAAGTTAACTGGACAGGGTGTTTTGTATACATAAATATACATATGCTACGAGTCCATCTTTGAGAAAAAGCATGCGTGGTTGCGGAAACTCGTTGAAAATTGAAAGGTGTTGGAAGATAGAGAATACCATCGGCAGTATCGCAGTATGTCGAAAGCATTTGAAATACATACCGATTGTTTCATTGATGAGAATCTCAGGTTAGCTCCATGGCTAAAATTGCATGCGTACACCCACAAAGCAAATGAGGTCGGTTGTCCAACATCAAATTTACCCCAGTACTTGTCACAAGCAAACTGTTGGCCCACAGGGAAATCAACGAGCCTAGAATTAACAAAATTTGTCCACGGGTACTAAACACCCTTATCCTTATCTTAGCAGCATATCTTGTGGACTTTTTTCAGTGGTAACTTGACACCCACAAATTTCCATCTGAGCGGAAAATGGAATGGTCAAACCAATATTCAAAGGGTGTAATTGATTGGCCCTTGCGAACTATCTTACCTTTCCTCTTCCTCCAATTTTATCAAAAGTTATGCAGCCAATAATCGCAGACAAACTGACGGAACATACTGAGTGTCTGCCAAGCATTTCCACTCTTCAACTTGGTTTCCGACGCATACCATCTTGTCTTATCAGACTGCTTCTTGCTCGTGACATGGGTTGTGGCGTCTGAAGAAAGAATCCTGCTATATCTTATCTACTGACACTTTTATAGAGCATTCGATAAAATCAACTATTCAGTACTTCTCAGAAAGCATAAGGACAACGAAATCACGATTCCCTGTTCACCTAGTTAAAAAGTTTCCCAAAAGAAGAAACAATAAAGCACTCTGAGAGCTTGTGCGTCCTTAATGGTATGCCGCAGGATTCCGCCCAGGGCCCGCTACGATTATTATTCTATACAATGCTTTCCTAACAAACATTCAATCTCTGCTGAAATAGCTGCAGATAATGTCGAAATTTCAAGAGCCATTCGTTTGATTTCTGCACGTGCCGTTCTTCAGCATTAGCTGGAGTAGAGATAAAAATGGAATTTGAAAATGTGCGGAATATCAGAATGAGAACGATGAAGTTGTGTGCACCGTCACAAGCTACGATCGATCAGCCCAGCTCGTCACAGCTACAACTTAGTTGCTCCTTGCCGAAAAGCCCCAGAAATCGCTTGGCTCGAGTTCGTCAACAAATTCTGTCAACCAATTGCAGAGGCTTCAAATATAAGAATTTGCAGTAAGTGTAAATCAATTTATTTCGTTAGGAGCAGAACTCGAAAATGAATGACAATACGCAACACAGCATGACGAGTGTACAGCAAAGCTCCAGCATCAGAAATTAGAACAAATACGTGGCCCAACGTAATCACTGCACTCAGCTTCTATGAGAAGACAAAGCCGCCTATCAGCAGAACACCCCAAAAGACTTTAGTGATAACTACAAACTGCTGTACAAGCACGTCCATAGCCTACGAAAGGTGAGGCAAGGATTTCCTTCACGCAGGACGGCTGATGGCTCAACAAGAACGACGGTGAAAACAGCAAACGTGCTGTGGATGCAATCTACCTCACGTTTCAGACGGTCTTGCCACCAAGCGATCTGCCAACCTATGTCGTCTCCTCGCCAGGAGTAACGCGCAGCACATTTACCAAGGTGGCCGTACGGCAAAAGCTGACGTTTCTACGCAAAGCAGTTCGCCAGGTATCGACATCATTCGTCTAGCAGCTAGCCAACTGGTAGGACATTTAGTTTAGTATTTCCAGCGCTGCTTAGAAGAGAATCAAGTGCCCGCCATGTGGAAGATTTGAATACTAACCCCAATTCATAAAGGTGGAAGCAGAACTGATTCCTCCAACTACCGCCCAGTATCCCTTCTTCCTATACTCTCCAAGGTCATGGAAGCCATAGTGGCCGATGCACTTGTGTGCAAGGTGGTAAACTATAACATTATCACGCCTGAGCAGCACTGTTTCCGTCGACAGCGGTCAAGTACAACGAATTTACTAATCGCACACGGTAGTTGGATCGAGTCAGCTGACGCTGGAGAATGAGGGGATGTGATCTACCTGGATTTTTCACAAGCTTTTGATCATATAGACCATCGGATACTACTCTCCAAGCTCCAGCATTACAGGATCGGCGACCCTCTTCTAAGCTGTATTGCCACTTTCTACTTCAACGGCAAGTAGTGGTCAGAGTTCGGAGCTTTTTATCGGACCCTATACAAGTGGAGCGTGGTGTGTCGCAAGGCTCAGTTCTAAATCCACGTTTGTCTTTGGTGTTTATTAATTACCTTACACAGGGAATCGCTTCAAACTTCCTAATGTTTGCCGACGATATCAAGATTTGCCGCAGGATACAGCATTGCATCAGAGTAATCAAGGTACGGTATATCAATGGTCAACTCACAATTTACTGCATTTCCAAGTGTGTAAATGCAAGGTACTTTCCATCCGACAACAGAGTAGCTGCTCACACCTTCTCGGAACGAATGTACTGCAACCATCAACTGTCGAAGATGACTTGGGTGTCTTAGTTTAAGAGGATTTAATTTGCTCCATACAACACAAAAAGACCTCGAGGACTGGAAACCAACACGTCGGACTGTTGCGACGTGCGGTTAAAATACTAAACAGCTCCATATTTCGACAAATGCTCAGTGCGTATGTTTGCTCCCATGTCGAATACGCAATTCAAGCCTGGCATCCATGGCTGAACCACGACCTTAATGCTCTGGAGCAGTCACAACGTGGGGCACCCTAGAACGTAACTGGAATGCGCAATCTTTCATATGAGGTGAGGCTGAAATGATTGGGGGTATTCAGTGGAAGCTATCGCAGATTACGAGGCGACCTGATTAGGGCATACTTGATTCTGCGAGACCCACATCATGTGTTCCGCCCTGTACTGCGACTCAGCGGTAATGCGAACCTGAGGGGCCAGTCATTGAAACTCGCAAAACAGTATAGCCGTCTGGAGTGCCGCAGAAATTTATTTTCTACTCGTGCCTGTCAAACGTGGAATGCTCTCCTAGTACCGGTGGTCTCTGTACCGATACTAACAGTATTTAAAAGACGGTTGGATGACGCACTCATCCACTTAGACTTTGTCACTTAGTGATACGTCTCCATCCTACACCTGGAGTTTACCATGGAGTTATTTGATGGTACCTGTGGGTGCTGTAAATGTAAGCGGATTGCAGGACTACAGCAGAGCAAGCGATATCTCCTTACGTTCATATTTGTAATATAAACTGTTTTACTCTTTGTACTATTGTTTATGTTATTGTTACTATTATTATTTGGATATTCCCGAAAGCTATCCAATGGATCTTGTATAGCAGCGCTTCTTAACCCGTATAAATTCCTTTTTGTTGTCTGTTATTCACCTGAGCGGTACAAATCCTAGTGCACACTGCAACGTTCCAGCTGCTGTCGTTTCGCTGCATAGTAATTTATACGTGCCTTTTTGGACTGCTGGTTCTGCAACACATGGATATGCGATTGATTCAAATACGTTTTTTCAGAAATATGTGTTAACTTCGTTCCAATATTTGAGCAAATAAAATGTGGCGCATTTTAATTACATGCTTTTGAGGCGAGCTCTTGGCGTCTTTACGGCTGCTGAGTAATTCGTATACCTATTCTCACCTTAAATGTACGGTCCAAGCCTTTTGTCTTTCGTTAATCGAGACATTCCTCTCTTCGAGCGATCTTAAAGAGGATTTGCCAAGCCAACATTCGGACAATCTTTTCTCACTTATTAAATGCGACTTCGTTCAATCGGTGCCTCGACGACTTCACGGAGCTTTTATTATGTCACGCTGGATACTAACAGAGAAGCGTCATCCATGTAATTAGCTGCTAGTCCGACCCACTTACCAAAAGTGCCGAGGCCACGACCGGAAAACATTAACCCAAAACTCCCGCATGAATTTTAGGAGGTTTTTTACTCACTTAGAATCTTTCCCATCGGAACACAAAACATTGTGACATTCGAAACACTTTTAGACTTTAATCTAAGTGATAACCGCTACACAAATCCGCGATACATTGCCATACGTATACTATTGATATTTCACATGCCAGGCCGGCACATATTTTTAAATGTTCTTTTACCTTTGTGTTCGCTATCGCGTGAGCTCCTACTGCTAATGTTTATCACATCATTATTGGACTGTAATCATTTTATTTCCGTTTTACACCATGAATTGCTGTAATTTCCTGCAGTCTACCGTCTTTCCTTGCAACTACCATCAACTGTTACCTACGGTTGTATTCCCTTGAGCTAGTCTATTATCACTTTTTTGTCCATTCGAACGCTCTTACTCCACCTTCATATAACAATTCTGTTCAATAATTACCGAAGCCTTTTATACTCACTTCATCTACCAGGAATCATGCACAATAAGTTCTGTGCGTGCTACTGGTATCGTTTGTGCATCCAAAACAACTTGATTAAAAAGGTGTTCAGCTATGAACTGTGAAATCACTGACTCAAACTCCTTTTAAATCTTGCCTGCATGAGATAGGGAAAATACGTCACATTGCTGTCATGTCTACCTGGGCCAGGTGTGTCACTCTGTTCCGTGAAATTCTAGCCTAGAACACACTGACTGATTTTACTTCAGGTCAATAAATAACTTAAACCGCAGTCGCGCGGTTCCGAATAACAGTTACTGTTCGTGAGTAATGCGCAGACCATTGCAGGGGAGTCACAATCACAGGTACTGTCTAAACAAAGTAGTCCATGTAGAGGTAGCACATGTAGGTTTCAGCATCTGAGTGAAAGGCGGCCATGAATCAACCCCGAGTAAACCAGAAAACAATAACTTTTAGCATTACAGATCTGCAAATATATATCGTCATGTCGGCAAATATCATATGTCATTCGAAGAAACAAAATTAGACAAGTGCGCGAATCTTTTAAGGTGTATATCGAGACACCTATAAAGTAGAGAAACTTACCAGTGCCAAGCAACCACCGATTTAAAGCTTGAGAATCCGACGGGTGCACAAGGCTATCCAGGGATTTGTTCACCAAAGTGTGCGGCGGGTATCCAAGCAGCCGCACTATGCTAAAAACTTCCACTACAATGCTAGCTGTCAACTCGGGTGCAGCGCGGGTGAACCAATGTTTCAGTTCAATGCTAGAAGCCGACGAACCAGGCGCCAGTAAGTGTTTCGACAAGGACAAGTAAAGTAGAGCTGTTATGGGTGCGCTGGTGTTCGGAAAATTGAATTTTTGTTCCAACAGTTCAGTAAAATCGACATCCAAGTCTACAGCATCCGGTTCGCAGTTCCCACCTAATTTTTCGGTAAGCAGCGTAAAAGCAGCCGGATAAAGAGGCCAGAGAACAAGACTGTGGATCTGTGTATAGAAGAGAAGACATAAAAAACAAGTATTGGTTAATTGCTACCACAATTTCAGAGTCGGAATGAATTAAAAACACTGACAACAGAACTGTTTCGTACACCCATAGTGCTCACGAACATAAGACTTCGTCCTCTTAATTCAAGTTGGAATATTTTAAACAGATTGCTGTAGCCATACCTTACATCAGTATGTCAAGTTCAAAAACTAATCTTGTTGGACGTAAGCATTAACTCTTTGCGATCATTTAGGATGGAACAACTGTTCGCCGACATAAGCAAGGTTCTCCTTGCCACACATATACTCGCCAGTAGTTTCTCAGGAGTACTTCTTATTGTCACTTTCCTCTTCACAAATTTATAAATGATTGTGTTTGAAGAAAACCACAGTACCAGCCCACAGTGTTAATCAAGCCTGAAATCTGACAAGCGCAATTTCTGTGTCGCATTTTTTTCTTTCTTTGCATGCAAAACTGGTTAGTCACTATTTGTTGTTATTTAGTTACAGGGGTTTGGCTGTCTAGACTGCACTGCTAAGCCCAAAATATAACAGTATATGGCAGGGATAGAAAAGCATTGTGCCTACTCTACCACAATGACACAACTATGCTCGGTTCAGATATTAGCAGAGTAGCATGGATATCCACCGTTGAGCACGGCGGCCGACGGGTACCGATGTTATTTGCCCGGCATTCTCATCACCCAGTGTTGAACGTATGAACATATCTACAAGTCAATGCGCACCTTAGTCCTATTTGTGCTGTCCTACCGAAAGTATTTGTGAAATGCGCGTAGGAGCCTTCTGGTTTTGAATCACTGCACTTCACCCTTGATAGGATGCCGCATACGAATCAAAGTTATGCTGTGCGCGCAGGTATTTTTATCACGCGAAGTGAACTAAAAGTTATAGGAGAACAACACATAGTCATATCAAACCAGTTAGTACAAACATGTACAGTAATATTACTGCAACCGATCAACTTATGAGCACAACTCTTCTGAAAATATGTTTTTGCTGTGTATGTCAATGGTAGGCCACTTTAAAGAGGATTGGTGTGGTATATCCGTCCCCACGTTTCATCCATAAGCCTTTGCACTATCTTAAAAATACAGCTGAGTAACATGGCATAAAACACTTGAATCATAGATGTCGTTTTTGTTTGTCTGATTATTCTAATATATTACTGTAATGCCCACTAGCTCTTGGAAGCATGATGTAAGAAAATGGTCTCCTTGGGAGGCACACAAGCAGTGAAAGTTGTCCCATTGCCACCGGTTTAAAAACTCAGTCATCACTGCGACGGTAACAATAGACAGCAGGTTGCAAGCCTTTTGAAAGACGATGCTAATGGTTGTTCGAGGGATGGGCAGCGGAATAAAAGGGGAAGCAAAGCTCAGCGATCCCGTTGATGCACACGTATTGTAACCCTTAGGTTAACGTTTTAATGCAGTTGTTCCGTTACTCGAATGTGTGTGTATTCTCATGGTGCATGTTGGATTCAGGCTGGGCCGCAGGCCTTCTGAAACGCGCAGTTTTCGCAGAGGGAACAGTACTAATAATTTCTTAAACAGATCATACTTCATTTCGATCCTACTTCAGGATCTCTCTCTAGTAAAACGCGCTCCCGAAGTTATGTTTAGGTTTGTGACGGTGGAAACTTCGTTTAAAGTCAAGCTGCTGGATTTCTTCATTTATGTATCAACTCCAAATGCAACTTGTGGGTAAACTCACCGAAGTGACGTTAACTATTGTGAACTAGTGTGACGTTACAAAATTGGGTGAATGGAAGTAAGCTCTCCATCTGTCTGCAGTAGCTTCAGGTACTATAGGCAGTCACCCACTTGAGGCTGTTGTGAAAGGTACGTGTGCAGCTCTTACGCTAGGCTTGTGTAGATACGTTATCCAGGGTGGTTATAGGAATGGTAATTGTACCAGTATAGTTAAAATTGAAAATATAGATGAACTAAGTAAGAAACGTGGGGTTTTATGGTAGCGGAATATCGGGTATCAGCAAGTGATAAATAACCTGCACTGCTAAGGGTAAAGAGAGCCACCCTTCTTAACAGTAACAAACATAAACGGATCAACTAATTGTTGTGTGTCACTCTTAGCTTTTACGCAGTGATGCATAATTTTCAGCTGTTTGCTTGCACAGAGTATGAGTGCGTTAGTTGTGGGGTGGTGAACGGTGCTGCTGCTTGTAGCGGCCCCATTTTGAACGAATACTGTCGCATTACATTCAAGCATGACCTGTAATGTGTTGGAGCGGGTTAGCATTGAGATCGCATCCCAGGCCAGAAGAGCAGTCCGGATTTATTAAATGGAAAGTTTGGATACTGTAGTGTATGCGCATCTCTTTCTTTATGCGCAATCGCTCAACCATAGTTATAAAGCTTAGGCTTACATGTAAGTACGACATAGCTTCCATGCAGTTTCGCTTAGCCGCAACCGCAGACCACTGACGCTAATCATCCGCCCACGTCTCCTGATAATTCCCAGCACAAGAATGCTGAGATTGTCCGCGCATCCGAGTTGAATCTATGAGCTCTACTACATTGTCAAGAAATACGACGACAAAATACGGCGAAATACGATCCCCTCAGTAATGACACCAAAGAACGAGTAGAAGTTCTCATGATGACAAGAACAGTGAAATATGATATTCAGCGACTGTAGTAATGACAAATTTTTCGACAAGTACTAGGAAAAGTTCTTGTTATTTACACCCAAGTGAGTGGAAACACACAGGAGTACAGCATACTACTTCACATCCTCGAGTTGTGACAAAAGACTGGAAATGTGCAAAAATTAAAAAAGTGATCACAAATGAATGCAATAAGATTAAAGGTACAATTCGTAAATTGTGCAACTGACGGAATTTTTTGTTGATGTCACGTAAATCAGCACTTTCCTTAAATGTTGATCTAGTATGTCTCTCCTTTCTTCAGCCATGACACTGAGGAGGCGCCCTGGGCAAAAAGGCAAAAGTATTCCTCACCACGTCTGCAAACCAGTACAACATCTGCGCTAAGAAATGAAGGAGAAAATACGAGAAAAGAACGCCATGTGGCCGAGACCGAAAACGCTGAGACTGGAAAGACGGTACAAGTACTTAGTTTGAGACAAAGGCGTGGCATGAAATCCCCACTGACTCTGGATCTGAAGCAGATTTGCACTTGGCGTTACAGTAAGGATACTCAAGAGCAAAGTACAGAACAAAACTGTACGCCAAGCACAATGGACAACGCATCCAGTGACATTCAGGCGTGTTCCATCGTAGGTGTCCTCCACTCATTTAGCCCATTCACCTGCGCCGCAGAACAGCCCAGAGATCTAACTATCCTGCCGCTAACAAAAAGCAATTTAATCAGGTAAAATCATGTTTTATCCAACACGTACTGTTCCAGTGCAGTTAATTCTTCATCATTTGTTTTGATTTGACAGTGTACAAATAAAAATTTCCTACAACAACACCGTGAGACCTACACTCTGTAGCACGAAACCGGGAGATGGTGTGTTACTCGGTTTCCGAAAGACAGACGTCCAACGCATCTGTTGTTTCATGAGACAGAATTCCCTCGGTGTCCCACGTTCAGGCGCTTTGAACACATCCGTATCGCGGTAGTGAAACCGCATTCCTGCTTTCATCTGATGGTGGTAACGTTCACTGAAATAGCCACCATAACGGCAGTCAAACTGCAATGATAGGTATACGGTTGAAATCCGAAAGGCACAGACAAATTTTAGATTACTGACAAGTGTTAGTTGTGAATCCAAGACTGTGGAGTTTTTGACACATTTTGCAGGAGACCGCTAAGTAGGCAGTTTGAATGGCAGCAGGATTAATCCTAACTATCGCGTCACTTTGACATCTCGGAACAACTTCACACAATTGTTAGCATGTGCCAGGTGAGCAGTCCAGGTTTCTACATTAGGACAGTCTTTGGGTGCTCGCCACGCCAAATCCCTCAGGGACATGTGTTTGTACTTTCTGCTCCTTAGAAATGACCTACTTTTTCTTAGGTGGTGGAAGGATTTCTGTTCCGGTGCGTACGCAACAAATGTGCTTAACACATTTTGAAGGTTTCCAGGCAACTTCTAGAGGTTTACAGTTATGAAGATTTAAGATATCGCCTTAAAGAGCGTGGAATTGTACTAAAGTGTACTCTGTGGTCGTGGAAGTTAATGGGACTAGGCATTTCCTACAGACAGCAGAAGCTGGGGAAAAGTGTGCTTTCGAAGGGGGAGCCGCATAATTTTTCTCAGCGAAGGCCCGATGAGTGACACAATCTTTCGCCAGTCGGGCGCTCATCCAGCACCCATCCTGCCGTCATCGGACGCTGGTACCAGTAGGGCTGTAGCACAGCTAGGTTTGGCCAGTCCTGTTTTGACCCCTTGGGTGCATTTTGGTTCCCCACATTTACCATTAAGTGAAATCATGGTCATGTTGTTGTAAATGAACATTGCACATGTTCGGTCATGTGAAGTAGATGGTTTGTTATCCTCGACTTCGTTGTCTTAGTCATGCCGTTGTCCTCTGTTAACGTAGGCGGGTTTTTCGAGGGAATGACGCACAAGCACACGCAGTTTGGTTGTCTTATCAGTCGATACTGATTCGCGTGGGGCTTGGCTCTTTAACATGTCTTGTAGTGGATGGATGTCAGCGTCCGACTGTCAGCCATGGTCGAATATAATCGGAAGACGCAAATTGAGTCGCAGCTTCGTTAGAAATGGTCTTGTATGAGTAATTCCGAAATCTCCGGATAATACGGAGAACCCTGTATCCAATGCAATTTAGTAGTTGTGACAGTGGTTAAGTACCAAAAAAGTTGCTCTCGTAAATCTGAGCAACATCAGTGCTAAAACAACAGACTGCAGGAATCGCGATCCTAAGGCAACAGTTTCGTACTAGGGTATCTACTGAATACGGCAAGTTAGTCCGAAACGATTACGTGTACGATGGTCGCATTGGGCCAAGTATAGACGCAGCTTCTCTATTGATAAGGAATGTCCTTATTATTATCATTGCTATTATTACACTGTGGACATATAAACGGTCACTAGCTGCGCGACGTTCGTGATTCGGTTAAAGCAGTTGAAAATAGTCTAGATAAGAAAAAACAATTTTTGCGTGTTATTTTCCAACGCAATCTATTGTAGACCCTGAAACAAGACGAAAATAAGTAGACACAAATTGCCACTTGGCAGTGAATAACTTAATCACCCATACCAGAGAGTAAAAACCGTTAGTATAGCTCTGGTTTGTAAACTGTTAACGATGTTAATACATCTGCCTTAAATGCTTACTGCATCACGGTGGACGGTGGCGTAAGTCATCCAGATTGATCCGGCGACTTTCGAATATCATCTATGTTCCACTGTTCTGCATGATAAAAAAAACAACAAATCAGTGTCATTGACGATAGAATGGGTAGAAAGAGAATTGTAGTATAGACAATATTCCTCTCTATGCCTTACTGATAACTAATCCCAATCCCATCTTTGTGCTTTTAGACACACGAGAATGCAGAAGTGGGTTCATCATTATCAAATACTCCAACAACAGTTAAATGATTCCCGGTCCGAGGATCAATACGATTCATGCCATCTAGTAAGTGGTCAGGATGACTGTGATTAAGCAAGTTCATTCGGTTTCAGGTGATGAATATTTCCCTGGGATCATACATTACATTCACACATTGCATAGTTACTGTATAGTACGACACTTTTCATTAAGTGTTGTGGCAATAAACAGGCACAGGGAAGTTAACAGTTACATTATGTCAGTCTACCGTATGCGCCGAGCAAAAGCTCGCCAACATTCCCTTTCTTGAGCATTCCCACATTTGTAGGAGAAGCAGGGGTAGTTGATCATATTGCGTCCGCAGCTGTTCTAGTTGGTATGCTGAATCCGGATTGCTGAGGTGGTGGAAACCGTTCAGACAGATAACGCTTATGTATAGAGAAATCATTAATCCGAAGCCCGGATCATTCACCCCAGGTTACAATGGTTAGTGGGCCATGGTTAGACAGTCTCTGGAGTCATCAGAAGAGACCAGTCTCACACTGTTTGGACACACAGATGGTCGATGCAATATGTCCCCATTCTCTTTCGTGTGCATTCGTTCACAATTAGCATGGCTACTGAAATACCATGACGAAAACCCAAAGTATATGTTGAACCATTTCGTTTATGCATAGACGTAATGGGTCGATAGACCAGTTGGCTATTGTCACAAGTTGCAATGTACAAGTTTTTAGAAGCGAGTAGCCTCAATGAAGTTTAGGTGCAAGGTGAACGATAAGAGATTTTAGGATATCGCATTTACTTGGTATCTAACCACTCCGCGTAGTCTCTGAGTCACCTGCGGCATTAGCTTCATTCGCATAGGACTGTCAAGAGCTTTTATGCTTAAATCACCAGATTGGAGCTCCCCAGACACGAACGGTCCAGTAAATATCAAGGAGTATGTAATACTTAGTTAAATACTAATCATTATTTAATTGTGACAATTGAGCCCCGTGGTAGAGCAGTCTGTACACATAATGTCCAGTTAGCTGCTACCAGGTAGGCTGGTGGACGTTGCAGAAGACAGCTTTTATGGCATTCGTCGTGGTATAAAGTATTACCTTTACCGAAAAACACCGTCACATCAAACCGCATGAATCTTCAAAGATAATCCGAAAAAAACACGAAGGTCCCAAGTAATTCAAGAGTTTTTGGTTTCAATGAGAGGCACGAATCCAAACAAGGGAACCACGCGTGAAACACACAGCGACGCATCGTGTTTACTAACCGATGCGAATGCAACTATTGGTAGAGGCGGGGCAGCTGGGCTGGCGTGACCGATTCCCAAGGATGACACGCGGTGCTCATTTAACCTCATGCAAAAGAGAATATGCCGTGACATGAATAATACTGATAATGTATTACGGGTGTGCAGGGTCTGGCATCAACAGCACTAGAAAGCGTGGTTTCGGCCCCGAGTAACTTGTGGCTCGCTACAATCGTTTCCAACGGTAAACAAAGAAAACTGGTGGAATTATTCACTCTGCTCTCTACAGCAATAAACGTATGCTACCATCATTCTAACTATCGTATAAGAGTTCTTTACATTTAGGAAGGTCAACATCAACATTATTTGCCACAGCAAGTGGTAAAATAGAGCGACTAATGATTTCGTTGGCCGCCCAATACAAGAATGGGATATCGTAAAGGGGACTAACATGGGGAGTTTATATATGTGTGCTAGGAGTCAGAGATTGATATAGTATAACAGAAAAGTGAACAAGCTAACGATCATACAATTGATGTCCACCAAAGAAAAATTTCTAATCGCGAGCGTGCCCATCAACAATTATCTAAGAAGCGGTGATTATGCAACTCTGCTATTCATGTGCAAAACCTATGCGTAATACATGGGGTAAAATACAAAGCGACGCGGGCACTAACAGATTGTAACACATTCGAGCAACCAGCAAAGAAACAACATGAGCATTCCAGCCGAGGAAACAGGAGTCATCGTCTGTGGAAGATTCATAAGAGAATTTAACACCCCGGTTGCTAATGCTTCGGAAACTAAGACTATAGTTTGATTAAGATGACCCCGTTTGTACGGCATATGATACCCATATGCATGGTAATTCGAAATGTGGAAAGGCATGCCCATGAAACCGATCTGACCCGGAACACCAGGAGGGAATACGGTGAGCACCGTAATCATTTTATTCAACTATTGCGCGAGGACAAAGTTGCACATCAATAGACCTTATTAGAAAATTTTGTTTCGACTCATAATCCAATGTCCAAGCACATGAATAGCGTTCACAATGTTAGCAAGGGATTTCATCCTATTCAGACAACAGAGAGGGCTAACACGAACCGTCAAAGAAGCGGCAGATACCCTGAAGCAGGAGAGCTCGCCAACTTATGAATGTGTTCGTGGAATCCAGACCATTTGGAATGTATTTGGCCACCACCAAGTGTTAATCATATCCACTTTACAACAGCCACTGTGAGCAGAAAGCCGCTAACTATACGCCCATACACCGCCTCCGAAATTAATGGTGTCCGGCTGGACGCGCTTGCTCTGACAGCCAATCTCGTGGATGAACATTTGACACGATTCTTCCCACACTGCCTTGATGAGAGGTTCGTTCATGCAGTCCGGAAACGTGGGATAATACTTCCAATTGACAAAGGTGAGAGTTGTTCCAGCCCAACCACGTTCCAGTGACTCTTCTTCCCGTTCACTCAAATGCACAGAGGTTATCTTTGCTGACGCGCTCAAGTCTTATATGAACGAACTTGGCTACATTACGCCACAGCTACATGTTATCCGGTTGAATCGATCGTGCAACACCAATCTGCTGTTGGCACCGACCAGATGGACAGAAACAGTGGATGTTGGCGTACGCATCGGTGTTGTCTACCTGGACTTCTCTTAAGCATTCAGCCGGTTAAACCGCGACATTCTTCGTGTCAAATTTCGGGTTTACGGCATTGTTTATTTCCTTCTAGGTTGGACCAACAATTATCACTTGTACAGGCAACTGGAAATGCAAGTTCGTGAATTCGTGTCAGCTCGTATCCAAGTAAAATATGGTATAACAGGAGGTCTGTTATTGTCATCCCGTCTGTCCGTTATCTGTATTAACCATGTAGTGAGGTTTATTACTTCCCACGGTTTGTTTTATGCCAACAACACCAAAGTTTGGAGGCCGATTAAAGCGCTACATGACCGCGTACAGATTGGAAACGACGAGGACAAATTTTGTGTATGGTCAATGCAGAATAGTCTCTACAATAACTTGACAAAATGTCACGTACTCCGTTTACGCATCCAATTGGTCCACACTTATAAGCCGGTTGAGTAGGGTCTGGTGTCTTGTTTTCGTGAGAGGATCTCGGTGTTTTGGTCAAGAAAGGCCTCGGCTGCTCGCAGCAGCCCGAAATAACATCAGCGAAGAACATCCAAAGCTTCAGGCACTTAAGAAGAGCTTTCTCTCACTTCGACCCATCGATGTTCTCCAAACTGCTTTCTGCATACATACACCCTAACGTGGAATACGCGATTCAAGGATGGCGGTCCTGGAAGAATCGGGATCTCACTGCTTTTGCGATTTTACAATGTTGCCTAAGAGCTATGCCGCTTATCCTACTACCAGTGACTCGGTATCCTTGGAGTTTTCAGTGGATGTTATCGGTGTTCTTGTGGTAACTTTATCATGGTTTATCAGATTTCAGGCATCCCCAGTCATAATATCAGACTAAGATCCACCGTATCAAGGTGCAGAGCAATCCAGCCGAATGGAATTTCTTCCCCTTGCAAGTTTGCCACACATGAAATTCTCTCCTAAAACCTGTTCTTTCAATCCTACACCAGCTGTGTTCGAAGACGTGTCGCTAATACTTCAGCTGCAATACACCTTGTGTGTTGTCAATGAACCAGGTGAAGTGTTGGTTTTATCTACATCGATTTCAGTAAATCGTCCGTTGATGCTAACTAATAATTCCTCTTCCTTAAGGTGGGTTTGTGCAGTGTTTTAAGATCACTGCATCGGTGGATCCTGGAGTTTCTCACTGAACCAAAGTGGAAGGTCCACGTCGTCAGTTATATGAGCGGCTGGCAACTCTTTGTTAATGGTGTACACCAGAGCACGGTGCTGGGACCCACTCTACTCCTAATTCACATCAGCGAGTTACACCAAACTCTTCGACTGCCGATGATCGATCGCGAACGACCTGACTATTTGGAGAGTAATTAACACACTTGACGACTGCGGCCTACTTCAGCAATACCTCAGCTACCTCTACACGCAGTCTGCAGAAGTTTGCCTCTCAGTCCACAAAAATGCCAGCATTTGTGAGCATGACGAAGATGGTGAGAGCCCAAGTTACACGCTCTGCGGCCAACTGCTACATCCCATACTATCTATGAATGGTTTTGGCGTATTCCGGCGCTACCACTTGAAGTGCACGGACAAAACGAATGGGACATATCGCAACAGACTATGCATGCTTGTGACGTTCAAACATAGCTACTGTACCTAGTATGAAGGGGTCACCACTCGCATGTTCTCTCCTATTATAAAACCAGTGTTAGGGTGCTGTTCGCTCGCTCACTGTCTGCTCGCGCGTGCTGAGGCACCGAAGACCGAACGGGTCCAGCACGTTGCGAGAGCCGTGCGAGAAACCAGTACTCTACACTTTCGCCGATCGTCGGGTGGGGATCGATCCTTTCGCGGTCTACCGCATATTACATCTCGATGACTTTCCAAGCTGAGGCCCCTGCTCCTCTTGCGAACGTCATGCAACACACGTGGATACCGGTAAAAGCGCGTGGCCCCGTATATGAAGTGGGACCCCCACCACCTGTGTTTCAAAAGGAGAATGTTCAAGGTTTGAAACAGTATTCTAGAACTTGTCGTGCAGACCAAATCTGTTAAGCACTTCAACACATCGCTGAGTTCACATTTCACTCCTTCGATTCATTGAACAATTGCACACTGACAATGACATCTCACACTTGTGAACCCAGTGATACTGCTAGTTATATATTTTACAGTGATACATAATAACTCGAAGAAACATGCTATTAATAGGTGACATACTTTTTATAATATTTTTGATCGTATTTCGATGAAACTGTACAAATTTAACTAGTTGATTACTCCTGCTATGAAGTAGTCGGGATCCATATAGCAGGCTTATGACTATTCAATCGTTACAGTTGTTTTTGCTTTTCTTCTAAAAATCCTTGATCGAAAATGTGTTTGAAAATGTTATGCTTCGGATGTGTTATCCCTAATAAACAATTGATCAATTGATTGCAGCTACTGTTGGGGTTATTTCAAAACCGTCTGAGTGCACAAGACGGTCGATACAATTACATGTCAATGGTGTCTCATTAAATTCTTCTGTCTGTTGAATGTGTTTATGGGGTGGTAAAAGAAGATTGTACAATTGCTTACTTGATTATTATTTTCAATGAACAGCCAGACCTGTTTTCCTGTGCCTTAAGTTATTCGCCCCAAATTTACTGCATCTTACAGACTGAGGGGACGCACCAGAAATCCGAGGCGAGGCCTGAAGCCTTCTTCCATATGGAGAATTTGCAGCATCGTTTGGAACACCCGAAAATCGTGCTTGCATCGGAGGAGAGCGGATGGGTTGATTTGTTCAAGCCTGACGTATGTGACATGGGGCAGAAGAAACGGGAGAACAATGTGAATTTCTCTTATGTGTACGCGCAAAACTATGGCCAGAGAACAAATGCCAACAGCGTCAAAAAATTGGGTAGTGAGGCGATGAAAATCCCCGCAGAATACACCTTGACGAATCATCCTCATTTGTCAACATGCGGTTTCACTCTGAACCATCCTCCGAGTCCAAACTTTTACAGTAAGAGAACGCACCGTCAAGCCTTCGGTTCTTACAACTCAGTGGGTGCAGTCTGTGTGGCTGATAAGGCAGTCAATACGGGGCCTCAACTTTGGCCCACTGGTTGGGTAGAAAATCCAAAGATTGTTGCTGGGTGTACTGGTGGCCGACACATGTGCAACACCTTGCCCGCTCCGTGTCCATGCAGACGCCGTGGTTGCTCCTCCGGAGCAAGCTATGCACACACTTCGGCGAATGAGCTGTGAGTTTATCTCCATGCCCGTCTTGTTCCACTCTTTCCATGTAAAGTGTAACTATTTGTCTCCCTCCGTCAAGGATGATAGTCAATATAGGCTAGTTGCACTAACTGCGCCAAATTTTCATGAACCTCTGTAAGTCAAACTAGACGAACTGAGAAATGCGTGGGCACAGTGCCACTGTTCACTTGCCTAATTCGTAAGCAATCGCATTTGCTTGCACAGGCAACTCATATCGTTTATGGCGTGAGAAGAGCAGTTTGTACCAGATATCGAAGATTGCCCTATGTCACTTGATCCAAGGAGCAGGAGATAAAAAATCCAAACATGCATATATTTACAAGCACCAAGATGTTTAAGCCTATGTAGACGCGACTATGCACCATCGAGCCTGGATGTACCCCCACCGGCTGGTCAGTCCGCCAGAATGGTCATCGTGCTGCACAAAAAGCGCAGCGCTCTACTGACGCGAGTTTGAGCTCGCAAGGGACCCGGTGGTTGTGCGGTCTTTGGGTCTGTCCCATCTTAAGTCTGCTTTGTAACAGTGATAGAATTTGGCTAGCGCGGAAGTTGCAGTGAGTCTATGAACTGAGCCACTGTTAGACTAGCGTCTCGGTCAAAGTCGTAGAGGATTTGGACCAATGCGAATGAATACAAAAGTAGTCCAGGCACAGTCGCTGACAAATAAGAACGTAAGTGTTATGCGCAATCTTTCATACGAGGAGAGGCTGAAACTATTGGGATTATTCAGCGGACGGTATCAGAGATTTCGAGGCGACTTGATTAAGGCATACTTGCTTCTGCACTACCCACATAATGTGTGCCGCTCTGTACTGCAACTTAGCGGTAATACGAACCTGAGGGGTCACTCTTTAAAATTCGCAGAGCGGTGTAGCCGTCTGGAGTGCCGCAGGAATTTCTTTTCCATTCGTGTCTGTCACCCGTGAAACGCTCTCCCAGAATCGGTCGTCTCTGCACCGACACTAACAGCATCTAAAAGACGGTTGGATGACGCACTCATCCACTTACACTTTGCTACTTAGTGCCATTCCTGGAGTGTACCATGGATTTATTTCTTGGTAACATTGGGTGCTGTGAAGCTATGCGGATTGCAGAACCACAGCGGAGCAAACGATTAGTTTTTTTCATACTTAAAGCACTGTTTAATTATTATTATTATTACATTCATATGCGCACAAACTATCCCACGGGACTTGTAAACCTGCGCTTGTTAACCGGTATAAATTTGGTGTTCATTGTTTCTAATCCGAGTACTCGAATTAAGCCGTACTGAGGTGTATCAGAAATTGCCACTAACCCATAAGGGCTACCCGAATCACTGAACATAATTTCAATGAAGCTAATCTACAATATGTTCACTAATATAAGGATTGTCCGTTTGGTAGTGAGTGCTCGCTGCGGTAGGTAGTTTTTTGTTGTTCATGACTTACTCGCTCTACTTTCACCACTAAGCAGTTACGAGTTACACCCCACCGACTTAGTGAACTGTATCCGTGGGTGTACACATTTACGGAACCAAAACCAAATACGCCACAGTTCGTGCTAAAGAGCATTTGCGAAGCTTCATTTCGGGAATAGGATAGTCTAAAATGAATTATAAAATTCTTTCAAATAATGGTTTTGTATAGGTTAGTCGCAGTCGGAATTAGTCAAACGCCCACCTAGCAATCATGCAGTGAATGGCCCTCATCAGTGAAGAGAAATTTTCGAATTCTGCTGAATTCGGTTTCATGACTTACTTCCCATAATTCAGAGCCGATTCACAGGGGATGTTGATGGTCAGCTATGACTGACAATCGGAATGTGCGGATAGGGCGGGCGTCCTCACGGTATACTCAGCCCACGTGCGACTGGTGGTTGTCGCGCGGCAGTGTATAACCATTACAGCGTAAAGTTGAAGAGTATGTAGATTTTACGAAAAGTTTTAGTTTAGTGATGCCCTCTCGACAAACAGACCTTATCTTATCACACCGCGCTCATGCAACTGCTATGGAAAAGTAAAGGTGATGGAACGGGTAAACCTCACTCCATCCGGAATGGTCCACAGCCTTTCAGATACGGGAATGCCTTCTGTGCAGCTAAGAGGAAAATAAAATGTAAAAGCCTACTTCAGGGATAAAGCTTCTTAGTGTTGGTCGATACATCTACAACCGAATCCAACCTCGTCTGTCTTTTCTTTCCTTTTCAGATGTATCCACTAACTAGTGAACTTTGGGAACACATCCAAACATATTTATATATTCCACACCTACTTTGTCATCTCTCTTGACTGGCTAATTTACTACGTATCTGAACAAATATCTGATCCAAAAGTATAAACACCAACGGGCGATGAGCGTATGAGCTACAGGATGCGCGACACCGAAGTTGTCTCAGATCTAGTCACTAACAGAGCTGTAGGCATTTGACATGAACATGCAGCGACTAGTAATAGTTTCTCCGATTCTCTAGGTTTCTGTTTCTCTCTGCTTACGGGGATCGTTACGACATCTCCTTTAGTAGTAGTCACTCCAGCAGAACAGATATGCCGGTATCGATGCTGGTCAATAGCGACGCAGTTGCGTTGCAACGTGTCTGCGCGCCCATCGTGAGCAGTCTACCTTACCGACGGCATTTCCCCTCATATTCATGCATTGAACGTGTCATGGTCTGTTGCAGAGTATGCTCGCCATTTTTCAGTTGGCTTGCTGACCAATTGATTGTTGACGAAACACGAATGGTTACAAGCGCTGAACCAAGGTAAATCGGTCGACCTCATTTACATTGACTTCAGGAAGGCTTTTGACAAAGTGAATCATGCAGTGCTCCTCCATAGGCTGAAGGAGTGCGGTGTTGGCGGCTCACTGCATCGATGGGTCAAGAATTTCCCTGTTGATCGAGAGTGGAGGGTCCAGGTGGTCAACTATTTGACCGACTGGTATCCATCGAGCAGTGGCGTGCCCCAAGGCATTGTACTGTGGCCGATTTTGTTTCTGATCCATGTAAAGGATATGCCTCAGCTACTCCAATCACCTTGTGCGCTGTTCGCAGATGACTTAAAGGTGTGGAGAGTAATCTGCACACCCATTGATTGTGACATGCTTCAGAAAAACCTCGACCGCCTCTCCAAGTGGTCTGCGGAAGTCAACCTTCTGATCAACCCGGTCAAGTCGCAAGACATGAGGCTGGGTAAGTGTGAGCACAGTCGAACCTAGACGGTGGCCTGACAACCGTTGCATCCCGTGCTTTTCATGAGAGACCTCGGTGTACTCTCACGCTACGACCTAAAGTCCATGAACAACGCGAATGGGCTTTACTAAAATAGCCTTCGTATGTTTGGACGCTCAGGCGCAGCTTCAGCACTTGGTCCGAAGTGATGGCCACTCGTCCCTTCGTCTCGATTATACTACCAATGCTAGACTATGACTCTCCCGCGTATTGTCCCATCACCCGATACAAGGTAGAAGAGGTTGAGCGAGTGCAGCATGTAGCCACCAAGCTGATTCTCAACTTACGAGATGTACCGTACGATGACCGGTGTATGAAACTAGGACTGTACACTCTAGCCTCTTGTCGACTGAGGGTTGACCTCATCATGACGCACCGGAGATTACATCTGGGAGATTACCCCATGTTGAGACCGCTGCTTCATCTGTGCATACCAAGCAGCACACGAGGACACCGGTACAAGCTTGCCGCACCAGATTTGAAGTGGGTCTCTCACCAACTCTGTTTCGAACGCAGAGTGGTGAATGGAACGACCTGCCGCAGCACGTAGTTGAGGCAAAGTCGGTATCGGAATTTAAGAAATTCCTGGACAAACACTTTACCGACGTAAAATATATCGAGCGCACCACAACATAATGGATCTTTTTCTCTGATGGACATTAGATGCAGCTACACAGAGAAACCTCTACTTGCTGCTTCCAACCAGTAAACTAGTAAACTAGCAGTGTCTGCATTGCATGCAGCAGAAGGTGGGTCACAGATTTCTCAACAATCAACATCATATGCGGCTTGTCACTCGGATTGTGTGTTCCCCGTGGTTCGCTCACTATTAGCAGCCTTAGTTTTGAAGGACCAACAGAAGAGGTTAAAGGCTGCCATAAGAGCATGGGTCAGTCCTATGAAACAAACCAAGTTTTACATTTTGCCAAAATAGCGCAAATATGGTTCGTGCTCAAACACACTTGTCATCATCATCATTACGCACGTTAGCTAAAAGTGGCAAACACCTCAGATATTGTGCGGCAGTACATAAGGAAGGAAAAGAAGCAATACATGCAACAGTGGCACGCCAGCTGTGCTACCAATAACGGATGGGCATCGTTCGGGTAAACTACTAGTCGTCTGCTGTGTCGCAAACAATTTTAGTAAGCTAGAAAATGAGATTGCGGTTGAAGAGGGGGCTATGCGAGATTAGGAGGGACAAAGAAACCCACAACACAAACGTCACTGAGGTCGGCTCCTAGCCGTGTCAGCAACTGTATCCAGCCAAACGTCCTCATCGTCTTTCGGAGCCAAACCAGGGAGCCAAGACGCTCCACCGAGATCAAGTTTGAAATAATACCCTACATTTCTCTCAATCAAGTCATCGATCTGCAACCCCTTCTCTTCTTCCATCCAGACCCACGGTGCGCAAACAACGCACCTCGTGGCAGTCGGTGGGCTGCCATGTGTAATATGTGGCCCAGCCATCGGAGCCTGGTGCTTGAAATGACGGTGCTGAGCGGTTCATTTCCTTTTCCTGTGCTGTAGACAAGGTGTCGAACACGCTCATGGTTCACCCGGTGTTCTCACTAGATAGCTTTGCGATTAATCACTTCCAAATTTGTGCCCATGATCGCGTCGAAAAGCAAAGCGAGAGATGTATAGCCCACATCGCAGATTGTGGCATATACTCACTTATATTGTTGAAAAGTCGGTGGGATTAACTGCTGTGACGTAAGCTACTAGGGTACATCTTTGTTTACTCCCCAAACCCATATTCCACATTACTAGCTAA